AAAGAGCTTAGCGCCACGTCAGGGTCTGAGCAGACGTACGCACTTTTGTTTGCCCGAGTGCTGCAGGTTTTTGGAAATATAAGCCATTCTTGCCGCTTGTAAAAGATTTGGACATTGTCAGGTGCTCTTTTATAAGTCAAGGACATTAAACAATTAGACATTGTTTACAGGGCGGAGATCTGAAACTGTTCAGCTGCGCACAATTTCAAGATCATTGCAATTTATAGATTTCACATCTAAAAGAGAGGCGTAAGCATGTTTTCTGTGCTTACGTTCATTCTATGAATCACACATACGCACTTTGAGAAATGATCGTAAAATCAAATTTAGGATTCTTTCTACACAGTATTTTATAAATGAGGCCCCAGCTCTCCTCTCTGTAGGATTATAGACATCATGAGTGTGAGTTGTGGGGCACTTTCAGAAAATGTCTCAAATAGACGAAGAATCTGAAGATCATGGTTCAGGCACATGGCCATACCCTCTCTGAAACTATTAGTGTGATGATGAAAATCCATTGTGGAGGTCTCTATCACCCCCGCATACCTGTGAACACAAGGTACTTGCTCAAGTAACACTTAATACAACAAAACTTGGCAACAATAAGCCCACAGTTTGGATTTTCTACATTATGAAGTACTTGTTTTATTTTGATTTGTAAACAGATTGACTTTCAGGTTTCATTTAAAATATCTTCATCTTTTATTTATAGGCTTAATGTATGAACCGTGGTTACGTTAGCAACCGAGTACGTTCCCTATCGATACTTCACTCGTACTGCGTCTCTTTAAGACGCTTGGGGAACCAGTACAATCCCACTGTGCTATGCTAGAGGAACGACTAATACTTGAACTTGCCTTAAGAACCCAAGAGGGCCCAGAGGGACCAAGTATTTTGCAGGGAAGCCAGTAAGGCTAAACTTGGAGAGGTCGGCCCAGCCTTGTATCATCGTCCCGAAATAATTCAGTACAGCCTCGGAACTCACCGAGGGCCAAGAGCATACATGAAGGAGGCAAACGCCAAGCACTGGTTGTCATATGACAGAGTGCCCTGCTATGCAGAAAGGACCCGCGCCTGTAAGGCCAGGATGTCCAGACTATAGAATCTGACAAATGTGGACGGCGAGGCCCAGCTGGCCGCCGCACAAATTTCTGCAATGGACACACGGCCCAGGAAGAGGCAACGCCTCTGGTTGAGTGGGCTCTTATTCCCATGGAGCATTGAAGGCCCAAAGAAGAGTATGCTAGCATAATAGTGTCAATTATCCATTTGGAAAGTCTCTGCTTTGTAACCGGACAACCCTTGGTGCGGCCACCAAAGCATACGAATAGCTGATCCGACCACCTGAACGGGGCTGAACGCTCAACATAGACTTTCAAGGCCCTGACGGGACAGAGTAAGTTCAACTCTTGGTCTTGCTCCGAAGCGGGCTGTACACCAGGCGGAGAAGACAGACCATTTAAGGGCGTAGAGGCGTCTTGTAGATGGTGCTCTAGCCTGAGAGATTGTGTTTAGCATGTTCTCAGGGAGGTTTGCAAGCTCCCATCGAGAGGCCAAAGGTGCAAAGCCCACAGCTCGGGCTGGGGGTGCCATATCGTTCTGTTCGCCTGAGAGAGGAGGTCCTGTCTCAGAGGAATGGGCCACGGGGCTGCCGAGAGCAGCCGGCACAGCTCTGCAAACCAGTGCTGGTTCCTCCGGAACGGGGCCACCAACAGCACCTTGCGTCTCTGTTTCCTGACTCGCCTGATCACCTGTGGAATCAGAGCGATCGGGGGAAAAGCGTAAAGGAGGAGGTTAGGCCAGTCATGGGTCAAAGCATTCCTGTCCTTCGAAAAGTAAGTTGGGCAATGAGAGTTGTCTTCTGAGGCGAAGAGGTCGACCTCTGCCCTGCCGAAGATCTCCCAGATTTTCTGAACCGTTTGAGGGTGGAGCGTCCTCTCCTCCGAGGGGACGTTGCTCAGAGACAGCATGTCTGCTCCTTGGTTCAGTCTGCCCGGTATATGCGCTGCTCTCAGTGAGCGCAAGTTGAGCTGAGCCCATTCCAAGAGGCGCTCCACTAGTGCGAAGAGGCGCTTCGAGGGGAGACTGCCCTGGTGATTTATATAGGACACTACCGTCATGCTGTCCGAGCGGACTAAGACGTGGTGTCCCCTTAGGTCTGGCAGAAAGATTCGATGGCCCAGACACACTGCCAGCATTTCCAGGCAGTTGATGTGAAGCCGGCCTTCCTCTTTCGACCAGTGGCTGAAAGCTGGCTTGCCAGTGGCTGAGGAGGAGGGATCTGTGAGATAGTAGCTCGTCCTCCGACTGGGCCAGAATGAGCCAGTCGTCGAGGTAATTCAGAATGCGGATTCCCGTCTGTCTCAGCGGGGAGAGAGCCGCATCCATGCACTTCGTAAAAAGTGCGAGGAGCTAGGGACAGTCCAAAGGGAAGGACCGTGTATTGATAAGCCACTCCCTCAAAGGCGAATCTCAAGAATCATCTGTAACGGGGGGCTATAATGATGGAATTTTTATTTTTAAGTGAACTATCCTTTTAATCAACATTTATGTCACAGTGTCTTAAATGAAACAATCTATTAGTGTGATATAAACAGAGCAACACAAGTTTTAGGAAATCAGGGAAAATGTCAACATGACTATGAGGTCACTTGGTTCTGAACATTGAATCATGACAACACCATAATACATTGCTCTGTGTACAACTTTGCTTTCCAGTACTCTTCCAGATCAAAAAAATACATTATACATTAACATACATCAAAATATATTAACATTATGTCAGTTAATGAAATATACTGTTTTACTATAAATCCAGTGGTTCTGGCACTGTGGTTTGCTGTGATTTTAAATAAATTATAAATACAAACTTTATTATGAAGGGGGAGGGGGAATCTTCAAAAAGTTCAACCAAGTACTAGAAGTAGAAATTATCAGCCATGGTCCTGCTCCTCTTGAGGACTCCAGTGAGAGGCTGCGCAGGAGCTGCAGCTATATCTTCCAGGGATGAGACTGTCGAGTCTGTCAAGTCTGTGTCATATGTTGCAGCTTGTCTAAACTGCCCTTCACTGGGTTCAGCTATTTTGGGATGAAATGTTCTGTAGTATATCATTTGCACTAGTATTCCAATGACGTACAAACCTAGTAGTGTCGGGATCACTATACAAGGGTTTAAGGAGCTCCAGCAGCCTGCATACTCAAAAACCTTCCTGCACCAGAAGCCCAGCAGCATCATTGTGTCCAAAGCCATGAAAATATAATACAGAACCATCTTTACTTTTATGCTTCCTTTTTTTGATACATTAAACCAGCTGAAGTACCAGATGAGTCCAACAGCAGCTCTGAAGAGCCATTCCCAACCAGGACTTTTCATATGATCTGTTTTCTGGCTCCAGGCCACGAAAACCAGCAGCATCCACAGGGACAGGAAGTGAGCTATGATGTAGCATGGCAATACACTGCAGAAGAGTGCCAGAGCAGTTACACGGGGAATGATCAGCAACAAGTTCCACAGGAAGTAGACACCAGTGGAGATCCAACTCATCTTGCGTCCTTGAGAACTGTAGACATGCATGCTGCGGTGGTACAAGGTAACGCTAAAGGCAATCCCAGCAGCTGATGTGAGGATCTTTAAACCTGAAACAGAAAAGCATTGTATGTAATTAAACAATATCAGATGAATATGTGAGTGAGGTTTATAATCACAGTCATGCTAATGCCGAGGCTCTGAGCAAAACACAGTAGTTGTGCTGTTGAATGAATCAGTGGTTGGAATGAATTGGTTGAGTGAATGAACCAATGACTCACTCATAAAGACTTGTTACCATATCACCACATTTTCTTTTTGGAGTTTTCAGTGCGAACTCACTAATCATGCTAAATCACACTAATCATACACATTCACACTAATTATACTAAAAATGGCATAGAATAGTGCATAAGTACACACATTGGGATGCATCTGTCTTAAAACATTAAGCCATGTTAAGCCTTTTAGAATGCCCTGCTATTTTTAGTGGTTAAAATACTACACTGATGTTCTGTATATGGATTACAAGTTTGTTTTTCTTCTTTTAAGAGATGATAATAAAAAAAATTGTGGCTTGAAACAAATGGAAACTTGACTGGTCTGTACTGAAGTTCTATGGATTCTAATTTGATGTTTTGCCTTCCAGGTCTCCACGCCAGTCACATGACTGAAAACTATGAATTATCGATTTAAATGGTTCAGAGATGCATGAGAATTATGACCTGAAAGTAAAAAAGTGTTCTGAATTTGAGACAAACCTGTAATAAGCTCCAGCTCTCCTCTCTGTAGGATTCTAGACAAAATGAGAGTGAGTTGTGGGGTGTTTTCAGAAAACGCCTCAAACAGACGAAGCATCAGAAAATCATGTTTCAGTTTCACAGCCACATCGTCTCTGATACTATGCCACACACCCTTTCTGAAATTATTAATGCGATGAAGAAAATCCGTTGTGGAGATCTCTATCACCCCCGCATACCTGTGAACACAAGGTACTTGCTTTTATTTAAGCAACACTTAATAAAATAAAACTTTACAATAGCCAACAGTGAGCCCACAGTTTGGATTTTCTACATTATGAAGTACTTGTTTATTTGTATGTGTAAACATATTGACTGCAGACTGTTTCCATACCTGTTCTCATTCGCATTTATTGAGAGTTTGTTTTTAAATGACAACCCAAATCAATTGTTCACATTAAGGATTAAGAAAATAGCTATATTCAATTTTGATTTAATGTTAATATTGAAGGGATCTGTCATCATTTACTTACCAACATGCCACTCCAAACCCAAAAGACTTTGAAACACAAATGAAGATATTTTTGATGATACACGAGAACAAAACTCGCTGGTTCTTGTGGAAGATGAAATGTGTCAACTGCACACATGAAAGCTTCTTCCATATTTTGTCTCTTCAAAAGACTTTAAACCGCTCGATTCATATAGATTACACTGTCTTTATAAACATTTTGAAGCGACAAGTCTTGAGTGAATAGAAACACCAAAATCTCTGAGGTTTCATTAAAAATATCTTCATCTTCGTCATTTTGAAAACTAACAAAAGTCTTATGGGTTTGGAAATACATGATGACTGAATGATGATGAAGCACTCTTATTTCTGTAATAAGGACTCTTTCTAAAAGTAGGCTAAAGAGACTGAAAATTGAGAAGCAAACCTGAGGTAGACGCCGAGCTGCAGGAAGTGGAATGGTTTGATCAATAAATGCCGGTCTGCAAATTTCTCCACCTTACTCTTAATCTTCTCCAGAGAATCAGAGTACCAGAGCCAGCTGAACACCTGTAACAACACCGAAGAGCCCAGCAGCAGGACGATCATCACTGCCATATACACATAGGCCCCATCCTGATAGAATGACACAACAGTCCCAATGTCCAGCACTATATCCAGCAGGAACAATATCAATCCTAGCAAAGTAAACAGATATTTCAATAAACAACCAAAAGGAAAACACTCCCGAGTCTCCACCATGATTCAGTCCAGTGTGAGAAACCTTACAGCATGACCATGTAATGTTTTTCTGTAGAGAGAGATATAGATATATGCTGTTAAAAAGATCTGAAACAGAAAATAAAGTTTACGTCCACTCATAACTTGTCCCATGTCAGGCCTTTGAATGATTGGTCATGTGTCAGACTGCAGTGAGTGATGTCACATGTGACCAGACTCACACGCATTGGTTCAGAGTGGGAAGTGTCAAATATTTGCTCATTATGTTTAATTTATAAATCTAATGTCCAGTACTGAGCAGTGATTCTCGGTCTTGGAAAATGCTATTCCCAGCTGTGCTTCCCATCAGACTTGGTGAACAAAATCTGCTGTCAAGTAACAGGTAGTACATTACTCAGAAACAACAAAGTAAATAAACCATCAGGGCACATTAAGGACATTGAGAATAATCTGGCTGAATTGATTTAATACATTCACAAAATATTCAGTGGAGACCTGTCAGAAAAGTCCCTGAACAGGACCGACGTAATTTCATAACCCATGACGTATTAACTTGCATTCACATAGTATGAGAAGACACATTTTAAAGAGCTAACCAATATCTAACACTCCAGACTCATGACACCAGACATTTCCATGCGTATGACACCAAAATGAAACTAGAGCCAACACCAAATACAGGAACTTACAGCAGGGAACCTTCACTATTGTGTAATAAAAACCTCAAACATTTGACAATAAATTAGTAATTTTAATGAAAAAATAGATAGGAAGTGGGCATAAATGATTTATCCACAGTGCCATTCAGTTCAATCCATAGTGAATTTTTTTTTTTAAGAATGTCACAAGATACAATACTCACATAAAATAGACCAATAATAGAAGTGAACACTTTATAGGCTGATTTACTTATGTGACCCTGGACCACAAAACCAGTCATAAGGGTCATTTTTTTTTAATTGAGATTTATACATCATCTGAAAGCTGAATGAATAAGCTTTATGAATAAATAGGACAATATTTGGCCGCGATACAACTATTTGAAAATCTGGAATCTGAGGGTGCAAACAAATTTCTTTTGAGAAAATTGCCTTTAAATTTGTCCAAATGAAGTCTTAGCAATGCATATTACTAATGATAATAAATTATTGATATATTTCATATACTTAATGGAACTTGATCTTTACTTAATATCCTAATGATTTTTGACCCATAAAATGTATTGTTGGCTATTGCTACAAATATACCTGTGCAACTTATGACTGGTTTTGTGGTCCAAGGTTACATTTAATTAGATCCAATCTTTTTGGAAAAAAATTTCCTTGGGCATTTACAGATAAGGTAAATAAATGTGTTTCAGTGTAGCCTTTGACAACTACCAACATACTTTTGTCAAGAAATCCTGAACGAATAAAAATAGAACTGAAAATATTAACCATTTAGAAAATCAATAATGGAATCAAACCCAAATCCTTTAAGGAGATAATTCACCCAAAAATGAAACTTGTGTCATAATTTACTTATATTCATGATGTTCCAAACCTCTGTGACTTTCTTTCCTCTGTGGAACACAAACAATATTTTGAAGGAATTTGATTTTCTGAGACATTTCTCAAAATATTTTCTTTTGTATCCACAAAAGTCAGTCAAACAGGTTTGAATAGACATGTGATTAAATGACAGAATATTATTTTTTGGGTAAGCTATCCCTTTAAGAATCAAATATTGTAGGATGGTTTTCACTTTATTTTAAGATTCTTAGGGGACTCTTGTTTGATCCTATTGTGATTGATTCCAAATTATGACACTTTTTGAAACAAAACTCTGAACATACAGCATCAAGTACACGCACACACACACAGACACACCACAAAGTGCTGAACTACTACCTAAAAAAAGCAGAATATTAAAGGTCCATTCAAGTGAATTTCGTCCTTCTGCAGAATGTTGTGACTTCCAGTAATGGGAACCAAAACTGTTTGGTTACCAATATTCTTCAAAATAACTTTTGGGTGAGTAATCAGTAATACTTCTAATCAGTATTTCTATATCACAATGCCTTAAATTAAACAGTCTGTTAGTGTGACAAAATCAGAGCATTATTATTATTAGATGCAAAGCACCTTTTGCATCCATTAGTTTTCGTTTTCTTCCACTCTGGATGACTATGGCAGCCCATAAAACCGCTTGTGGGAAAGTTATGAAATTTGGCACACAGATAGAGGACAGTCTCATCATTAACCATAGCAAATTTGGAGTATCTATCTCAAACTCTCTAGCACCACCAATAGGCCAAATTTGCACTCTGCTTTTCTGCTAATAATGTTTGAACCGTAAGATCTAAGCAACATTCTTTTTTCCTCTGATTCCTTGGCTTATGCCGAGTCAAATGCATACTAAAATATAAATTTCTATGGGTCATTTCTGATAGACCAAACCGTTCTTTAAAGTGTGTTAATGAATTTGACAAAATGTGTGCAAAAATGGACATGAGGCTATATCTTTGCAACGCTTCAGCTAATTCTGACCAAACTTGTGTTATACCAAGCATGACCTGATGGCACATGAGTAGTTTCGGCAGAGCACCACCTACTGGTCAAAATTGACATTTTTGTTTATAATTTCTGAACAGTTTGGCCAAAAAGCATAGGATTGATCTTGTTAGATTCAGAGCAGCATACCAAATCAAACGATACCCACTTTTCCTATGTCAGCCATTTCGAGTGTGGACCATTTCGAATTTTGTAGCAAAATGCTGTATTTTACAAATGCTGTAACGTATTGTAATGAATCTTATAGAACCACTTGCAGGAAAGTTATGAAATTTGACGCAGAGGACAGTCTCATCATTATTCACAGCAAATTTGGAGTCTCTGACTCAAACTCTCTAGCTCCACCAAATTTGCACTCATGTTTCTGCTAATAACTTTTGAACCGTAAGGTTTAAAAGCAAAGTTCTTTTTTCGTCTGATTCCTTGGCTCATACGGTGCCAAATGAATATCAAAATGTACATTTCTATGGGTCAAGATTTTTCGCAATTTAGAATTTTCTGAAAAATCTATTTTTTCAAACTTGTCCGACGGTTTACCCAGAGTTCAGCTTCAACCCTAAAGAAACACACCTGAACCAGCTAATCAGACAGGTGTGTTGAAGCAGGGTTGGAACTTAAGTCTTCCCTTTTCTTTACCGAGTAATTAAAGACAGCTCCTTAGCTCTTCATTTGACCTCTGTTGTGCCTGGCCCCCTAATTGCTGCTTGCAGCTATATTTATTATTGTTGTTATTATTAATATTTTGATTTTTTTTATTACAGTGCACTTTGCTCTCCAATAGTCAAAATCAGTTCAGTTTACCCATCTTGTTCTCTTAAACGTTTTAAAAGCTAAAAGCATGTTGCAAGCAGAAATGGGTCAAACAAAGGAAATCTATATTATGCATTCTATTTACACAACAGAAACTATATCACTGTTTAAAGAAATGAGAACATGTTTTATTTATTTTTCAGAAAGATAAAATACTTTGTACATAAAATTTACAAAAACAAGGTATTCTGTGTAGAAAAATAGATTATAAATACATTTTTATAAATAAAACATAAATTGTAATAACTTATGATGAAATTGGGGGGGGGGGGGGTTTTTTAAAAAAAAACCAAAAAC